GGCATTTATTCCCTTACTAGAGCAGACAAATCTCCATTAGCTGGACTTCCTAACTAAGAAGAGATAGGACACTGCATTTGCTATACTGCATAACAAACCCATGATCTCAAGGTATTTTTTTGGTAATAATATAATTAGAAGATCTGTTGCAATTTTAAGTCATCTTTAGGCTAGGGTAGTCAATCGTTTAGGTCACACATACTAGAGGAGATAGAGTGTTTCCCCTTGGACAAATTAGGATACATACTAAGATCTTTTGCATTTTGAAACAAATCTTAATTTTGCAACTTTCTTGCTGCATTAAGATGGCTTCCTGCATTGCAGTTTTTACATACAATCAATATAATTTAAAAAATATTTTTTCAACAATTTGATTGTTTACACTACTGTCTTCAAGCTAGCTGACATTTTATTGCAGAAACCAAAACACAACTTACTAAAATAGTAATACACCAGCTTTTATGCCAGCTTCCATGATTTTATACTATACTTTGTAAAGACTAAAATATTTCCTTCTTCAAAGTCAGTGAGACAAAAACCTCAGCTGCAGAGAATGGACTTTTAGCAGTGTATCATAATTCAAGATAAGAAAAAAATAATGGAAAGAGAACAAAAGTGAAGTGGAGAGACTGAAGAGCACAGTAAAGCTATACATGCACGTGAACTCGAGGGCTAGTGATCTACTCTATGCTAAAAAGAATTATAGCCATAGCCAGAACTACAATCTTGTAATCACAAGGTTCAAGCAAACACATATATATCTGCATTAACCTTAATCTAACTGGCATGAATAACAACAGACACGAGAAGCTGGAGCAGACTCCAGTGTTACCTACGCTAGCCCAAAGACATGTATACACAGCCTGCTAAGCCAATACTACTGCATCTTTACTTGTATCTAATTTTACTAAGAAATAATATAGGCATGTTTCATTGCAGCTAGACCTTTGATTGTAGCACTGATGTTTCCTGTCTTACTTCAGAGAGATGTCTTGGATTTAGTGCAATGAATTTGTATACCCACACAAACGTCACCAGTAACATGCACTGTCTGGAAAACAACTACTTAGACTACCTCATGATACACCTACGTTGCAGTGTGATCCAGAAGTGCAGTAGCACAAAAACATGCCTGACTGAGCTTTAAGATAGCCAGAGCATGTGACAATGACTGCAAAAATATGATTGTCTTGCATGAAAGCCCATTCCATCCAAATAAACTGCTGGAATCCCCTGTGGCTTTGCGAAGTCCATGCTGAAGCCTCTTGTTCCCTTATCTTCATTGTAACATCTACTGTTCACGCTTACTAGATTAAGTCTGCCTCATATATGCTATATAATTGTGCTGCACTAACTCTTTTCAAATGCGCATAGACATAACCCAAGTGAATATGTAGCAGGCACAGAGGAAACTCAAAGAATTTTGGCAGTAGCATGGAAGAAATGAGAAGGCTAGAGATTCTCCCCTGTAAAACAACTTGTCTTTCAATAACAAAGTTTCTTACTTTTGCCTAATTCATGCACATATCTAGCAAAAACTTTTTTTCTCTTTTTATAGTTTTTCTGTTAATTTCAAGTATCATACTACTATCACGCCACAATTAGGGAATCTATCAACTGTCCTTATTTGACAGTTTGCATTATTTTGTGGTAGGAGATACACAGAAATATATAGCACAATTGGGGGTCCTAAAGAACTTACAGCCTCAAAGGTCAGTAAGACTGAGGTGAAATAAAAGACTATCAGAGGTTTCTGTACATTGAAAACTGTTGGGGGCGGGCAGACTTAGACTGGAAGTTACAATGTACTAACTACAAGACCTTTCATACAGAGCAATACTGCAGAATAGCTACCACCCGGCACATTCAGACCTTGTCTTAAAATCAGCTACACACATCTTACTAAACTGTTCAAGGTTAGGACACAACTGATGAATTCTGAAATATTGCCTGTATTTAATGTTTAAATATAATTATACATTTTATATCATATTTTAATACACTTCCATACTTAAATCTACAGTAAAGTAATTCCAATATTTTAATGCATGCCTGGGTGAAATGAAGCAGATACAATACTCTGCATACTAGGTATGCTCTAGGTATTTTTAACTTGATATCCATGGTGCCTTCAAGGTCTCTGGACTGCTGCTAAAGCACCCACAAGAAGTTAAGAAAAAGAAATCTATTGCTAATAGGCTTAAATTTCCTATACAAGAGTCTGCACAGCTGTTGGAAAATTTTAAAAAGTATACAAATCTAAAATTATGACCATCGGGCTCAGGAACGTAGGAGAGTTAACAAACAGCAGCAATAGAGGAAATCTAGGAGATGAAAACCAGCAGAAGAATTCAAACCTCACTGGCCCTGTAAACAATCATTCAAGCTAATGCTCGTTACAAACAACACATAGTGGTAGGATGTGAACAGCATTATAGCCAGCTAGCTCTGATCCCCGAATCCGGATGATCTGTTAGCATCTCAGATACAGCCACCAAGCTCTATACTAATAACAAATGAATTCTACAGCAGCTCTCCTCTAAATGAATCACGTAATGATCTAAATCTTTCATAATGACAAAGATCTGATCTAAATGCTTTTCTACCTGTGCTATATGACATGGCAAAGAGGAAGGATGATTGGTACACACAAAGCAGTAGAGCTGCTTCTGTCACTTCATGCTCCTAGGGCTCGTAACGGGGCAATAAATTACAGAGGAGCAAAGTACTAAGGTAACTCCATAGCTTCTACAAAAAGTTTAAAAAAGGGGTTTCTTCACATACACAATGTGTTTCTAACGGAGGTAACAGGGTTTTCATATGGGAAAAAAGCCCTTTGAAAACTACATAGATGAAAGTGGTTTTTTTTTTCCTCAAGTCAATAGATAAGAAGCTATATTTTTAGACTAGTAAAAAAGACCATTTAATTAAGCTCTTAATATCAGAAAAATTCCAGCTGTTAGGCAGACTTATGTAGTCTGCCCAACAGCTTATACATTCTTAACAAACGGAGTGAACAAAACATGGTTTAAGTACAGTCTCCCCATGGGACTAGAGATACAGATAACAATACAAAGCAAGCTCTTACACTAGTTACATATTAAGTTGTACCACCACTGAACTCAAAATTTCTCTAAAATATGTTTTAAAGCATGAAAGTAAAACACTAGCAAGAATTACAAGACAATAAAGGAATTACAAATAACTCTAGATGCTATAGATGATTAAGCACATAATTAAAAACATACTTCAAATTTACTAAGTTCAAATCCTATGTGCATTTCCTGTGGTATACAACTCCACCTGCAAAAAAAAAAGAAAACCCCACCCCAGAAAACCCTCAGTGCTATATAGACTTCTCATATGCCCTAAGTAAGTATCTGCAGTTCTCCAGTTCTACAGAGTAACAAATTAGTTTTGTCATATGTAAATTCTTCACCTCCAATTAAGAACAAATTTGTTGTAATTTCAATCTACACATTTATCTCTTAAAACTACATGTTTTTTCTACACTGATTGCCTTGCTATGGTGAGCATATCCTATTTGGGGTAATGCCGTACATAAATATTTCACATCACAAGTAGATGTTGCTGAAATGGAAGGTGATGTTACACCTGTATCATATATATTATCCAGTGACATAGGTATTTAAAAATTCATACCTGAATATCATTTAAAATAGGGCCTCTTCAGAGATACGTTATTTATAGCTATATAGTTGTGGCAGCACGATAAGACTGCTGTTATGAAGCATTCGTATGCAGGATTTCCTTTCCCTGTAATTCTAGTACTTTTGCCATTCAGTGACAAAAGCAAATACACTGTGTTGATGCGTAAGCATTTTTACCCTCCCTCCTTTCCTTGAATCTTTAAAGGTTATATAAACCATAAATAGTTAGTGTTTATATTATGGTCTACTTTGCCCTTGCACTAAATGAATTCTTCTCCTAGGGAATGCAAAACACTAAAACTGCTATAACTAGATTGATCAGTCTTTAATAGGCTTTATTACGCAGTGTACCCTTTTAAATAGCCATGCTTCCTGAAATGCCATATCATTGCAAAGTTATCTTAAAAGTGAGAAAGCAAACATCATAAAATGTACTTGAAATGGTAAGCTACCTATTACGCACTATGTGCACTATAAAACAGGAAAAATACTTTTAGTGAAGAATGGCTGACATGCAGTAAAAGGAAATAAAAGAATTAAACTTATACTTAACAAGAGAGATTATTAAGTTGCCTAATTTACAACAACTGGTAAACACCTTTCATTTAAGAACAAGTTTTACAGTTTCTTCTTTAGTAATGATACATAAGAGAAGAACACCAAAACATCTTTCTAGACACAATAAAACTATTCTTTCTTTTTAAGCTAGATACACAGTTTAAGACACCTGGACAGATATCTGCAATCACTTTAAAGCACAAAGTGGTTGGCTTGCAATAGGTGAAATATTTTTTTTCCTTCAAGTTGCATATGCACAAGAACAAACAAACAAAAAAAAAAAATTCTTTGTTTTATAGCCTAAGTATTTTTTACAGTTTCATCTCCCTCATTTATAGAAACACATGGAAACATCAGATAAGAGTCACAAGAAGCGTACATTTTCATAGTTTTCTAACTGGCACAGGACTAACTCTCAGCATAACTGAACAACCAGTGGCACTTCAATGATTTAGAAAGCATCCTGTAACATTACCATGTAATGGACAGTACCTAGGTTCACAACAGCATGTACTTGGTATACTGTTTAAAACACAAGTGACTGCATCCTCATTTGCGCTTTATTTATCCACACTGACTAAAGCTGCCTTTTAAAAAGGTCCTAGTAAACACACAGAACCCTGATTATAAATAATTTTCTGTTTCTGATGCACAGCAGCTGCTAGGTTTCTGAAGTATTTTAATCTAGAATAAAGGCTAGCCTATATATGCATGCTATCTGTAAACATGAAATGAAAACACATTTCTCACAATAGGAAAGTAATAATTAACCTGCACGAACTGCTGTCCGATTCATTTTCTTCCTCACTTGCTCTATCACCTGTTTCTTGTCTGTCAAGCCAACGTGCACCTCCGCAGTCTTCTGCTGAGAATTCAAATGTCGGGATTTCTGAGGTGGATGCCATTGGCCAAGCAGGTGAATTCTGGAGATCCTGTTGGCTGGACCTTCTGTAACCAACTGATGTTAAAGGTAGGTTACCTGAATCTAAAAACTTTGTGCCAGCAGTTGTTACATTTTGTCCTCTATTCCAGAAGTCTCCCTGGTGGTTTTCAGTTGCGGAGTTAGGGGCTGACGCCTGGTGACCAAACCACCTCCATCTGATTTTTAAAATCTGCTTCACGTCAAACTCTTTACGAGAACCAGACATCCTTACTGAAAGCCAGTGATCGTCTAGGCAACAGGGTAAGAAGCTGCACACATAAAAGAAGATTTGTGCACCCAACCAAGACAAGAGAAACACATGCTCTGCCTGGCTGTGGCAAGCAGATTTTCTACAGAAGGAGGGGAGAAAGCACTGCATTCACGTAAAAAAAGGCTTCTTTAACGGTCTGTCATTTGAATATAAACAAAAGGCAATAGACGCGAAAAATCCTGAGATAAAGAGAGGAGGTGAAACAATCACCTCAATCAGTAAAAATGCTAATCAGTTTACCCTAAAAGCTCCAAGGCTGTTTCTGTTGCTCTCCTCTGACCATTAGCTTTCAAAAACACCAAACAGTATTCATTAAAGCCCTTTCAAGAGCTGAATACCACCCCCTTTTCTTAAACCACAAATGACAGAGAACGCAATTCCTGTACTGCATCTTAGAATCTCTGCTTCTTATTCTGTTAACTCTTGCTACTACAGAGGGGGAAAAAAAGCCCAAAAACCAAAACCACAAAAAGCAAACTGAATTATTCCTGCACTGCTGAAGAATAAATTTACAGAAAAGACTTAAAACCAATACAAAGATAGCTGATTATGCTGGGGAGAAACTGAACTGTAAATAATTCCTTTTCCCATTACAGGACAGGCACTAACTTAAAAAGGACAAGAACAGCCTGGAAGGCTCAGGGGACTGGTACTGGGTTATAGAGCCTTTCATCTTGATGTGCTTTGATTCAAATCTAGGTCTGCAGTAACTGAAAATGTCTATCTGAAATGAGCTAATGGTTTCCATTCATTTACATGCCACTAAAAGCAAAAGCAAGAAAAAGCTAACTGGTCACTATCCAAGACACCAGAAACACCCCCTGCAAAATAGACAACAAAAGATGACTTCTCAAAAGGCTTCTTTCTAATCATATACAATCAGCTGTTCCAGATCAGGTTAAAAGTACTGAGATGGAACAGTGGAAAAGAGATGCATACTTTTGAGCCAGAATTCCCTCTATATAGGTAATTTATGTAATGTGTTAAAATATCCAACAAAAGTTTTTATTTGAATGAGGGAAAGAAAGCCAAAAGGACAAAATACACAATGACCAATTTACATTTCCTATAAAAACCAGCCTATTTCCTCTACAACATAGGGAGCTAGTTAGGTATAAAATGCTGAGACTCATTCCAATCACATGCAAATAGTAATAACAATTTTAGAACAGCAAAGAGGCACTGGATTTTATCAGTCCTTGATAAACAGATTTATGTTTTCAATCTCCACAGTTCAGTTAGTCTGTTCAACTCTCCAGGATACATATGCAACAAATTCATAAGAAGTGCTTCTTTTCTACCTACAGTTTTCATCAAAAGTGAGTGTCACTGTCTCTCAGATGAACATTATGAGGTACAAAATGTGTGATCTTGTAATTAGGATACCTGCAGTGTTCTTTAAAACAGATTACATGCAGAGTCCATATGAAAACTTAAACAGTGCCCAATTTTACCACCCAAAAAACAAACACTCTGTTTTATACTCATTGCCAGGAGTAAATCATACTCTTTTCTTGGGAACCACAGTGCTGAAAGGGCTAGTGCTTCAAACACAGTTATTTGTGAAAGTGCTTCTCACAAATGCTAGCAAGCTAGCTCATTTCTATAGAAACAGCATTCCAGCTGTTCTCTATAAAGAGATGCTGCATTTTAGAACGTGTACCTTGCCAGCACCCTGGCCTAACAGAAGCTCTATACCAAGACCTTTGCAGCATGTCCAGAAAACAGTTGAAGATACTTGGAAGGTGAGATGATTAATGGGTAAATATACGAAGTTGTTACCATCTGTGCTGGGGATTTCATTTAAACACAGACAAACAGGGAAATATTTAAGAAGGATAATGATTTAATATATCAGCATAAAAATTGTACGTGTGTTTAACCAAAATGATACGACATGCAGACCCTACTCATACACATAGAGCTAACTGTTAAAAGCTTAACTGCGGTATTCAAACACCATCATTTGTGTAAGTGTGAGTTGGGCGAAACCACAGTACAGCTTAAGAAGTAATAACAAAATGGCATCTTTTTATTTATCCTCTCCTTATGTTTTGTGTTGGTGTCAGGTGTTCTTCAAGGGTGGAGAAGCAGGACAAACAACTGGTGTATTTGTTAACATTCATCACAGCAGTAGTATTTAATTACCCATTTAACTATGAAAAGTAAGCTTTAAATACCTTTATTTCTGCTGGTATGGTAAATCCATTATACATAAGGACTGACCTGGATTCTCTTTCTTGTATAACAATCTCATTTAAAATTCAAACTGTCCCAGTACAAGTCTACTAAGACAATGACAGATTTGCCGATTTAGTGCTTTTTCAGCACTTTCTCATGACTTACTGGGAAATACAGCCTAATTATTGCTTTTCTTCAGCTGTGAAGCTATGGGCTCAAACAGAGATTAGAAAACAAAACGTGCCGTAATTTTAAGAGACCAAGCCACAAAATTCTTTTCTATTTTCTTTCATTTTTCTAGATTATATAAACTCCTGCTCCTCTATACGTTCTCCCAAATTACAGTTCTAAGACAGACTGCATAAATATCTAAAATATTTCTCCGTTTCGTATAAATTAGATAAAAGTTTGTATTACAAATGACAAGATAAGTGCCACTTAATTCTTCAGTTTAAATTGACAACATTGCTCGGAAATAATCGAGGGCCTCTTCTTATTCTGGACAACCTTTATTACTATGAATAATATGATAGCTTTCATCAGGTCCCCTGCTGGGAGCTAACAGACTTTTGAGGAGATCTCAAATGATGAACTGTTAGGACTTCCACTTACTAGAACCACCCAAACCTCATCTTTGACATCTCATGTGGTGAGTGGTGCTCACAAATTCAAATGCCCACCCCTAGTCTACGCCTCCCATCACACATCTTTCTAACGCACTAATGCATTTCTGAGAAACCCGCTAAAAAGGTAAGCTGAACAGTACCATCTTAGTCAAACACAGAATACACAGACTTTGCAAGGATTCTGAAATATTTTTTCATTTACTAAGGCAAAAGTTTTTGTTTCATGAGAAAACAAGAGTGCTTATACCCATTTTTTTCTGACCTTTATCACTGCTGCAGCTGAATTTTCTATTTTGTGGTGAATCATAACAACATTTTAGTCCTCTTTGGGAACATAATTCTGTTCGCATTAATGAAGTTGTGTAAGCTTACCGTGAAGACAATTTTGATAACTCTGATTTTATCAGATTGATATTCCTGAGAGTGGAGCACCTGAACATTTAAGTACTAAGTTCTCTCATATGAGCAGCTCCACAAAGTAATAAATTCCTGCAGTCAGCAGTGGGGGACAGTTTCCCAGATTCTGCCTTCTGAACAAAAGGAAAGCATTTCAATGCATACCCGTATGTTAAGTCTGCAATTGTGCAAATAGGTAACACCAAAAACATAACATGACAGCTTTATAAATTGCTCTTTTCAAGATCTTCAGAACAATTTACCTCCACAGAGATATAAAATATAAAAATCTTTTTTTTTACTAGCCAAAAACTTTACTACACTGACATCCTTCAATATTATATATATGTTTATTCCTACAAGTGTTAAAGAAGATTGTAATCCAGCATAACTAGTTAAAATTTAGACAAAATTTTTAATCCTAAAATACTTCTACTCTATATTTTGAGGGAAGATACAATGTAAATATTAAGTACATCACTGGGAAATACAGAAAAATTATTATTTAAATTATCAGGTCTAAGCCCTTTTATTCATTATGACTTTTCCTTTTTCACTAGGAAGTCAGTTAAATTTTCAAATAAACAAATATGTTTATGGAATACTTTTTTGAGGTGCTTTTAAGATTTGAATGTCAACACCACTTTTCATGGTAACATTTTTCCTGTCATTGCTATGTTTTGGCTTTAGAAAACTATCACCACTCAACTTCAGGTCAACTCAGATATAATAGTTCCAAGGAATTTAGTCTGTCAAATGGATTTAAAATTAAATATAAAATATTTAAATATTTTTAAATTGAAGATCTAGGGGCTTAAAGGCTCAGCTAGTCCTTAGAAGGTATTAAAGATCCTTTCAAGTGTCAATTAAGAATGAAAATGCCAAAATAATTAGATAGTCTTTGTTTTCACTGCAAGACTCATTTCTCCCTTGAAAAAATACTGCTTAACAAAAGCATTAAACATAAAGAGATATATTTTAGACATAACCAGACTCATTAAGATGTGATAAAGTAATATATTATTGCCAATGTTTAGCGATCCTAGATATGTAAAGCATAGGAAAGGTTCGCTGACCATAAGACGTTCATCAATTAATCAAATACATACTTACAGCATTAAAAGGCATTCAAAATTTAACGCTTTTTAAAAAGGGACTTCTAAACTTTAAAATACTAATTTGAGGCATTAAAATACCTGTTCAAAGAAAACTACTATAGACAAACCCCAAACTGCAATTCTGCTTGTAACCATGCTTCTGTTAAAATAAATGTTAAATGTTTTTCTTTTTTCTTCCCTATTCCTGTGTTCCAGCCCCCAAATTACAGAAATAGCTCTGCAAAGACTTCAGCAAGACAGCTACGTTCATGCTCTGTGATTCTATAAAATAATCACCTCCTATCCCAAAGGTTTTTATAACTGCAAACATTTCTGGTTCATGGTTATGTGCAAAGTCCCTTACAGTAGTAAGGGCATAGTTCATCCAGGAGAAAAAGAGGAAAACACCCTACAGTTAGTGACTGGTATGTACTTAAATTCATTGTTCTGACTGGCAGAAAGGAGCCGCAGCCGAATTACTGGCACTACATCGCAACTTTCTGCCACTTTGCATTGCACATTTCTTTCGAGAGGTGCAAGCCATATATTTAGTAACACTGACTTTAGAGCACTCAGCTTAACAGTAGCATGAAAAGACCTGTACAGAGCAACAGTCTGGCTTGCTGTTTATTTTATACAGTGGGGTGAGGGGGGGAAAGGGAGAAAGATTTCCATATGTAATAGAAGACTACACTGTCAGATCCTAGATTTTTGTAGCTCAAGCATCACACTGGTTC